CAAAGCTGGCAATGGAAGTCTTGAAACTGGAGGACAAGCTCAAGATATCATACCAAACTCTTAAGTCAACAGATGCCCGTGCAGATGTTAGGTCCTAGTAGAATTGGAGAAGTGCAACAGATTGTTAGTAGTAAAGAACGGCTTTCTGATTCTAGTTTTAGGTCTAGGCAAAAGCATGTCACAAGGCTCAGCCTTCTGGCTTACACTTCAGCTCAGCTTGCTTGTGTTGGCAATGCAGAGCTTGTAGAAGTATTCTTAGAGGAGGCAAGGCCTTAAGACAATCTACAATAAAATGCTTAGTGCTTGGCACTTGAAGTAGTAATATGATTACAAGCCTGTGAATTCTAAAGGTTCAAATTCAGCACTGTTGTCTTGGACTTCTTATTTCTGAGCCTCAGTTTACTCTAAGAAGTGCAAAAGAATGACAGTGTGGGTACTGGCAGCTTTATGGGGAAGATTAAGGAGACAATGTACAGCACTTGATATGCAGTCATTCCAAAGTAAGAGTAACATGTTTATGTGGAGAGAAGAGAAGTAAAGATGTATACCCCCTAAAGTAGAATCTTTAATGTGATTCATAAATGTGCCCCGTATCCCAGAGCATTCTACCAAGTTAAGGCTGTAGAGGACTCTGTACAGGTCTCTTGCCTTCAGAGTTTCCTGCCAGGTGTGAGTTTACATGGAGAGGGGACAATGTAAAGGGACAACAAGGGGCTGATGAAATGAGTCAACAAGTAAAGGCACTTGTTACGCAAGGGTGACCCCCCGAGTTTGATTCCTGAACCTGCATTAGGATGAAAAGAGAGACCCAACTCCACAAATTGTCCTCTGGCCTCCTCATGTGTACCATAGCATGTGTGCACTCCTATACAAAATAACATAAAAACAAAGGCCTATCAAACATCTGGGAACATGTGAAGGCCTTTGCATATAAAACATATAGACCAGAGCATAGTAGAATGGAAGCAGACTGGTACTCTGGTGGCCAGTTCCTTAACAGAAAGCTCAAGGATGGGTCCTCTACTGTCACTGTGATTCATCCTCTCTCCCTCTGGGTAATGTTTACAGTTTTCTCACTCACCTGCAAAAGGACCCTTGAAGTCACTTTCATTGCCTTGTTCTGTAGACTTATATTATTTAGCAGGTGTATGCTAATTATATGCAGATTATATGCAAAATTTTGTTTGGCCTTCTGCCTTGTCATACATGGATACGTCCATTGAGACTATCCTCTAGTTCCACACAGATGGCTAGCTTAAGACAGACTTTCACTATTTTTTTTAAACTATGTCTCTATCTCATTGAACAATTGTAATAAAGGACGGTAGAGTTATATGTGTACTCTTGGGGACTCTACCATTTTTGAATTTAAGAATGAGGATCTAAGACTGATTATGACATAAGGCATTCAGTTCAAACCAATACATGCATCCTAACAGTGAACAAATTTTGAGAACGGGCTCTTAAAATTTAGGAAAGAATCATTTCATTTCAACCCCCACCTCCCACTGCCACTTACAGAAAAGGGAAATAAGGCCCAGCATCAAGACTCTTCCCAGACAAGGTTATTTGGCACACCAATTCAAATCTCTGATGCTGAGGCTTGGTTCTGGGCTGATATGGTACAGGAGTGCTTCCTGTCCCTAGAAGGTGATTCCAATAATGTTATTTTCCAATAGAAACTGACTCCTGCCCCCACATCTGTAACCAACCTCTAGGAAGCTCAGTGATTTCCTTTCGCCAACTTACACTCCAGGTAACTATTTCCATCTGAACTTCTGCAGCCCCTGCTTTAAAGATCTCATTTTCTTTCATATCTTTCTTCCTGGAGCAACTGAAAAACATTCTTTGCCTTTTCCCTTTGCCTCCTGGGACAAGCCATCTCTTCCTCTATACCTCTGTATGGCAGTGTCAGGTGGTCTGAACAACAGCTCCAGTCTTCAGGAAGGTTCTGAACCTAGGAAACCCTACAGATATGTAAACACTTTACATTGATAACAAGGTAGGCTTCTTTCCAAAAGCAACAGGAAAAAGCAGAGACCAAAAGCCCCTGACAAAATAAAAAGGGAAAAAAAGGAGGGGGGAGATCATGTTTCTTATTAGAAAACCCTTCATTATCTTTTTATAGAATGATGATGATGACGGTGGTAGTCATGGTGATAGAGAAATTAAATGGTAAAGGAGGGGGACATTGAGCTGAAAGGTATGGAGGACATAAATATGATGGCTGATCCCACTGACATTCTAAGCGGACACTAAGACACAAGCTCTAGAGAAATTAATTCCAAATATGAAGACAGCTCTTTACCCTAGGAGAAAGTCAGTGTGGAAGTAACTTTTAATATGTAGTCTCTTAGTATTGTCTAAGGTGGTGGAGTTAGAGGAATTCTAAGTGGTTTTTGAGCCTTCACCCTGTACCTTAACCTATCAGGCAAGATGATGTCAAGGTACCTTCTTTACAAAGGTGGGCCCTTTGTATTTTATTTCCTATGCTTTCATTTCTAATTTACTCCCAGACCCTTCAACATCTTGAAAACCAGCTCTTGTTTGGATAGCCTGTGTGTCAAGGATAGTATATCCATTACATCTCTTAAGTAGGACAACATATTTAAAGAGAGGTACAGATGGAGGAATCAAGGTCCACAGAGATGAAATGATTTTTGTCCCAAACATATGGCCTGTAATTGCTATCATCATGAGTCAAAGCAGGTTACCTTGGGCCCCCAGTCCTCCCCCTTCCTTAACAGAAACACATCTGTCCTCTGGTTTCCTTGTCCTTTAGCAACTGAGACATAAGATAGTGCCTTCAATTCTGTTTGCCTTTAAAACCTTTTTTTCCCATAATGTTTTGAATTAAATGTGGCCTGCTTGTTCGTGGGACACATACTGGGTGCCCACTTTAACAAGGGACTAAACAGTTTACAGACATGATCCAATGTAGTCATTACCCTCAACAACCACCCAGTGTAGCAGAGAAGAGACAACCGAGTGGAAACAGACCACTCTAGAGTGAGAGATTTGATGCTGTTTTCTGAAATAAAAATGAATTCATTTGAAAGAATGATCCATATTTACAGAGCTATCAGGGAGTGCCCCTTGAGAGAGGTGATGTGTGCATTAGTCATTGGGAAGCCTGGAATAAAGAAAATCGGACCTGGGTTGACTATGTGATACAACATTTGATTCAAAGACAGAGAGGCACCTATTACACTGCCAATGTCACCCAGATGGTGGAAGTGGAATGACTGTGTTAGCAGACTCTGCCCATTGCAGGAAAATGTTATGAGTGGGAAGAAAGAAGTGGGTGGGCTTGGATTCTCTGCCAACATGCTGACCATGTCAGGTGCTAACATAGACATTGGTACAAATGCGAAGGTCCCGGTGCCCACAAAGGAGAGAAGACTGTGTGGGCATCCTCTATTGATTTTGTTGAACATTCTCCGTGTTCATTTGATGAATATTAATTGCAGATGCACACTCAGAGTTACGGTGACCGCAGTGACTCTCCAGTGAGAGTAGGGACTGTCCTTCCAAAATGAGCATCTTTTATTCATTCTTGTATCCTTTTCTTTCTCCTCTCTCCTGGCTTCATACAGCATCTGACACTTAAAATACACATGTAATTAGAAAATACTCATCATTCAGGAGCTTTGCCTATGCCAAGGCACAGTGGGTATATTCCAGAAAGACTAGGGCACTGGGGAATTGATGAGTACAAAGATGGTCAGAGGCATGGAACATCTGTTGAGCTGTTTATTGGAGTTTCTACATGATCTCTACAGAAGTGCACCTGCCTTTAAATGTCCTTAAAGATCAACTAAATCTTGTGATGGCTACCTCAAATTTTCACTGATAGATGATGAAACCCAAAGCCTTGATAGTATTAGTTATAGGGGTGTTATATAACTTGTACAAGGACAGTTACTTAAAAGGTCATATATCAGCCAGCTGATATCATATCCATCTTCTCACTTTCTTTAGTTTTTATGTTAGTCATTACATACATGAGAGACTTAATATCACTGTCACAGATATTATAAATATTCGATAAGCTAATACATATAAAGACCTTAGCATGATGTCTTGTCTATTATACAGTATTGGTAGAGTTTATATTTTGCTACAATTAAAATGGCATATATAAATGTGTGAATACACACACACACATACATCCACATACACTATAAAGAGGGGAGTGTTAGATAAACATCACTTGGTTGTTGGAAGCTTTCTTAAAAATGTCATCTGTTCTCTGTGGCTCAGTGTCCTCACTACTGATAAAGTCAAGGGAGTTGGAGGCAGCCATCTTCCGAAATCTTTCGAGTCCATCTATTATGTGTCTATCTTTCTTCCAGAACACATGCTAGGCATAGACAAGACTCATGTTATAGACAGAAACATTGGCTTTTCAACTCTTGCCTCTTACTCTTCAAGGGCAATATTTTCCACAATTCCATGTTACTGATGATTCACTGACTGATAATGGCAGTTGTATACTTGAAGTTATGGTAATGGTCCAAGAGACAGTCTTTCTAAATGAGCATCTTTCATTTCTTATCTCCCACTATTTTCCTATCACTTTTCGTAGCATCCTTTACTTAACCTCCTAAACTGAAATCATACTTTTCCATTCAGCACTTTTGTAAAATCAATAATCTGCAGGCTTTATTATCATTGTTTCTTATTTTTTTTGTAATTTAAATACCCATTCTTTTAACAGAAGCTTTTCTGCATGCTTCATAGTCAAAATGAAAAAGAACAAAACCTCATGTCTTCATTTGCCACGAGGTGACAAATCTTTTTGCCCTGTTAGTTCCTCTAGCACTTTCCTTGCCCTAGGGGTGGTCCCAGAGGCTCCATTAGTAGCAGCCCAGAGTTTCAGAGAGCTTTTTAAAAACTATTCTAGAATACCCAGATATGAATTTTATCAGAGAAGAATAACTTACTTGCATCTACTTCCATGCTTTATTTATTCATCTTTCTCTTTTGCGGCCACATAGGGCTGTATGACAAATGTTCTTATACCTCACGCGATCGAGGATGGGTCATGGGCATTCACACCATCAGTGATCAAGGCAACAGAGATCCACGCTACTTTTTCTCCTTGAAGACAGACCGGGCCAGAAAAGTGACCACCATTGATGCCCATCGCAGCTACCTCCCGGGTCAGTGGGTACACCTAGCTGCTACTTACGATGGGCGACTGATGAAGCTCTATATGAATGGTGCCCAGGTGGCGACCTCAGCGGAGCAAGTAGGTGGCATATTCAGCCCACTGACTCAGAAGTGCAAAGTGCTCATGTTGGGGGGCAGTGCTCTGAATCACAACTTCCGGGGCCACATTGAACACTTCAGTCTCTGGAAAGTAGCCAGGACTCAGCGAGAGATTCTATCCGACATGGAAACCCGTGGCCTCCACACCCCTCTACCTCAGCTCCTCCTCCAGGAGAACTGGGACAATGTGAAGCGCACTTGGTCCCCCATGAAGGATGGCAACAGCCCCCGGGTAGAATTCAGCAATGCCCATGGCTTCCTGTTGGACACTAATTTGGAGCCCCCTCTTTGTGGGCAGACATTGTGTGACAACACAGAAGTCATCTCCAGTTACAATCAGCTCCCAAGTTTCCGGCAGCCTAAGGTGGTACGCTATCGTGTGGTCAACATCTATGATGATCACCATGAAAACCCGACAGTGAGCTGGCAGCAGATTGAATTTCAGCACCAACAGCTAGCTGAGGCCTTCCAACACTACAACATCTCCTGGGAGCTGGAGGTACTGGATGTAAACAGTTCCTCTCTGCGACACCGCCTCATCCTAGCTAACTGTGACATCAGCAAGATTGGAGATGAAAAATGCGATCCTGAATGTAACCATACACTGACTGGCCATGATGGTGGGGACTGCCGCCAGCTGCGCTACCCTGCGTTCATGAAGAAGCAGCAGAATGGTGTGTGTGACATGGACTGCAACTATGAAAGGTTTAATTTTGATGGTGGAGAGTGCTGTGACCCAGACATCACTGATGTCACTAAGACATGCTTTGATCCTGACTCTCCACACAGGTAAGACTTTCCTGGATGGATGTCCAGTTAAGAGCTCACTGTGATGTTCCTATTTTGTAGATAGGATGCATAAGTTTCCTAAGGCATTGTGGCATTTTTCTAGTCTGTGCAGCAGTCTTGTGAGCAACACAACTTTATTTTTAAGGTTATCAAGGGGAATACATACATACATACATACATACATACATAGTCCTTTATGAGACTACTTACTGAGTGCCTGCTATTGACCACGAAGAAGGCCTCAAAGCTCTGTTCTCTCAGAGAGCTCAGGGGTTAAACTGGGGAAAAAGCACTGCATGCAAATAGCTATCATACTGTATGTGATAGTGTTTGTTATATCTGTTGCAACCAGTTCAGTAGCTTCTGGCCATAGGCTAATACTTAAAGTTAACTCAGTTAAAAGTATATGGAACTACTTTTATTTTATATTTTTACTTATTGTTTTATATCTATACATTTGTGCTTAGTACTTTTACTTTGTAAATAAATAAAACAAGAAACACCTGATGATTCAAACCTATAATCTCAGCTACTTAGGAGAGATACACAGGAAGATCTTAATTTCAAGGACTTCCTGGGGTACAGAATGAGTTCAGGGTCAGCTTGGGAAAATATCTCAAAAATAAAAGAAGGGTAAGTTTATAGCTCAGTGGTGCTAAACCACTTGCCTAACTAGTAAAAACACTCTAGGTTCAATCTTTAGCAACACATACACACAATGGATACACAAGAAGATAAAAGTGTAAGAGGTAAAGTTTAGTTATTCCATCACCCAATTTGCTGCATGGGATTTGTGGCTTTTGTGCTGGACAAAATGATCCAGACATCTTCCACTGTCAGACCTAGTTCCATGGATGTTGAGCTGGTAGGTCTTGTGTCAGTCAGAACCTTGGTACAGATCCCAACTCTACCATTTTTTTTTTAACTTTTTGATCTCCTAAAGGATCTTCCTGGATCTGTAATACGGAAGTGAGCAACTGATAACTTTTAAGTTGCAGAGGTCAAAAAGAACATGCACAAAACACCATTTCTCTATCTCAGTGGCCTCCAATATAGTAGACCTTAATAAGTATGCTTCTCTAAGGAAAGGAGGGGTAGTAAGGGAGAACCTCGCAAAGCACTGACCATAAGACTTGAGTGTGTCACGGAGAGTTCTTTGGGACAGATGGAAATTCACCAAGGTCCTCAGAAGCAGTCATAACGGGAAGCACAATGGAAGATCTCCAGAAATCTAACATGGATAATAAATATACACTTTACTTACTTAATATTCATGCTAAAAAAAAGTTTTCTTGTCATTAAAAAATGGTAGGCATGTGAGATGATAGATATGTTTGTTTTTTCACTATCGCAGACTTTTCCCTGTGTTTCTATTCTGTCAAGACATGATTTAAACCTTAAATCTATACAACAGTATTTACTTTCAACAACAACAACAAATGTAATAGAAGGTATTGAAGAGATGGCTCAGAGGGTAAGTGAAAGCAGGATGACCTGAGTTCAAATCCCCAGTATCTATGTAGATATCATACATAGTCATGAATGCCCACAGTCTTTGCCTTAGAGGGTAGAGCAGTCAGAATCTGGAAGTTCTCTAGCCAGCCACCTTAGGAAAATGGTAGGCTTCAAGTTCAGTGGGAGATGCTTTGTCAAAAACAAGGTGGAGGATGATGAAATAAAATACTAGACAATATCCTGTTTTCTGTTAGCATACACACACACACGCACACACACACACGCACACATGTATATACAAAGTGTATATACAAAGAATAGGTATAATTTTGACATCAGTCAAACACTGGATTAAGAAAGAACTGCAGGAACAGTTACTTTCCCATGCATTATTCCTGAAAATCAGGAAGGAAAGAGGTCTGCTGCTGAAGACTACAGAGTCTGTCCTGGCTGCTGACTAAAACCAGCAATCTCAACATACTACAGGGTAAACTGTGTTTCATATGGGTCCTTCAGTTTGAAGTTAGAGAAAGTGTCAATACCCACTTTCCTGTTTTTCTCAGGTTCATGGGGAACTTTTCCACTCTGTCCAACACACAGAACCCTGGACTTGCTGATGGCTTCAACACGTTTGCCGAGATATGCAGGTTTTCTGCTGATACTTCTCTTTCTCTCTCAAAAGAGCAAGGGCCTCCCTTGCTCAGGCAAATACCTATGTTCAGAGAAATGAGGATTCTGGCAGGAGAATGACCTGCCTGGCAGCAACTCAAAGCACGGAAGCTCAGCCTGCTGGTGCACGGAGGGCTCCTGGGCACTCAGTTGTTACAGACTCATACAGCATGCAAAGGAAGATTTAGTGTATGGCTATTCTCTTCCAGGTCACTTCTGCTCACATTTGAGTCATGGATGAAATTGACAAAGGAGGCAAGATGGGAGCTAGTACGTTCATTTGAGTGATGGGAAAGAGTGGGAATGTAGAGAACTCAATGTGCATGATTCAGTAAAAAAACATTGAGCAAATGGAAAACCCAGGTTTTCTGTGATCAGTGTAGAGTATTCTCCTAAGCCAGACATAAATGAAATACCTATGTTTGAAGGCAGCGTCAGAAAGAAGAATGAGAATAGCTGAAGCTCGTGCACACATCGATCTGATAACTATCGCTGATGCGTGTGACAAATCGTTATTCAGCATCTGCCAAGGGCTGAGAGACAGGTACCACAACCTTGTTTTACTTAAGCAAATTCCAGATTCTGAAAGATGGCAGGATACATTTCCAAAGTTATCCTGCTGAAGTGTGGAAGACTTAAACTCAAACCTAGGCTTAATAACTCTAAAGCCATCGAATGGGATTTGTATAAATTCAAGGAACAATTAGGTAACATTAAAGCTTTGGTTAGCTGTCACTTTAGCTTTTACTAAACTTTGGGAGAAATCTGATGGTTGTGGTTGAGTCAGAACTGATGGCAGCTAGCCTTTTCAGAGTCCCCATGCTAGCCTACAGGGACCATGGGGCCCCAGGTTCCAGATAACTCAAAATCAGCAGGCAACACTGGCAGATTCCAAAGGCCTCCTCTTTTCTCATCACGAGACTGCATGCTCCAAATGTCTATGCACTGCCATGTGCCAGCAATGTGACCACTCAAGCCAGGGTCTGTTTGTTTGCTGCCTGGGAAAACTCTGTGACCAGGGTGAGCCCCACCAGGCCCTCTGTCATCATGACTAAGCTGGGGCTATTGGGTTCTGGCTGAATCAGCTCTCCTGTATGCACAAAGAAACCTGTGGAAGGTTTCAAATAAATACTCACATTTTGACTTTGAACAAATGAGAGGGAGGAGGGGAAGAGAAAAAACAAGAGAAAAAGGATTAAGGCACAAAAGCAGGGAGGTGACTAAAACAGAAGCCATGAAAAGCAGGCTGTTGTTGTTTAGGTGACTTTTAATGAAGTACTAGGCTAAAACAAAATAAAACAAAGCAAAGCAAAACCCATCTGGGGTATATTCTCTCTCTCTCTCTCTCTCTCTCTCTCTCTCTCTCTCTCTCTCTCTCTCTCTCTC